AAAAACAAAAGTGACAAGGCCTTGGCTTTCTAGCTTAAAAGTGTGTGTGTGCGTGTGTGACTCAAAAAGAAACACAAGAACAAGCCAACCCCCCCTCACAAAAACAGTGCCCTCCCCAATGGTACAAAAGCCCCAAATTTTTGTTCAAAAACTCACTCTTCATTCATGTATCGAAAACACTTTTTGCATACATAACCTTTTCAACTCTTGAAACACATTTTTCAACACTTGAAAAACAAAAGATAAACATATCTAGAATGAAGAAATAATATGTCAAACATAAAATCAAAACACATATGCATAAAATCTAAAAGGAGACATCAAATATAAACCTTTGGCTCTGATACCACTTGAAGGGAAATTTTGAGATTTCTATGGGAGTTCTAGTGACCAGCACGCATATACAATTTCAAATTTATATACATAAGCAATGGAAGCATATTATCACATATTATCAAAGCTATAGTTATGCAAATCCCTTTCAAGAAGGATAGATTCATATATGATGCATCAAACAAAATATTGAAGAACAAAGTGAAGGTTACCTCTTGATCTAGACTTTAGACCAATGATAGACCACCTCCAAGCTCTTTGTTCTTTGAACTCCTTGAGTCTAGCCTCCCTCCTTGCTTCCTTCACCTTAAAGATTTAGGGCTCCTTAGTTCTCCTTAAGCCTCCAAGTATAAAAGACCTCTAAAGATCCACACCCACTAGTGTAGTGAGATAGATGTTGGAATAACCAAAAGAAGAAGAGATGATTAGCTATTTTCTCCTCTTGGTGGCTGGCTATGTGTGTGTAGAGTGAGAGAGAGAGAGACTTATTTTTCTCTTGTTGAAAAGAACACACAAAAGCCCTAATGAAACTTTGTTCAGTAAACTCCATTTACAAAGGTAAAAGAAGTAAGTCAACTAATTGACTCTTTCTCTCTCATCTTTCCTCATCCTTGGCCGACCACTTAGTGTTGGTTTGGACTTTGGGTTTTTATCATTTCAAGTCATCCTATGCTTGAATAAAAATCCCAATGGGTTTGGGTCCAATGGGCCCGAATGAACCCGAACTTTTCTTTAAGCCCGAAACGATCTTTCATTGCTTCTATGATTTCTTTAGACTTTCTAATTAATCATAGCACCTAATTAATCCAATTAATTAATTCCATCATCCTTTAGTTGTCTCACCACAAGAGTGTATCGGTGTACAATCGTTTTAGGTTCTAATTAGTGAGGCAGTGAAGTGATTGATACCAATCCAAATGAATAATATTTATCCAATCACTTAGTGAATTAAAACTTACTTTTAATTTTCCTTCTTCTTTGATGACTACTTTTTCAATCATCAAGAAGGACCCATAATTCATGAGTGACATCTAACCATATATCATGGCTACCCAAGCTAACATAGAATTTGGTCGGAGAACCTATTCAATTGGAATTACAATGTAATTCGATCCTTCTCTAAATCAATACTCTCAATCACATTACTAGGGTATGGATACTTTATGTTAAAACCCTAATGTGATTAAACTATATCATTGGTTTAATTGAGTCGTATAGGAATGCCTTCCATCATTACACTCGATACTTTGGCCGAAGATTCCCGAATCATAACTTAGAGTATTCTTCCTCTTGTACTGAAGATTAGAGATTCCTTGTTGAGCATTCACATGTCTACATGATTAGGCAACCTAACCCCAACAATGTCGTGGACACTCTCGAATGGAATGCCTTTTGACACCATTAAAGATCAAGGACCTAACCACTGGACAATTATAATGTCTCAGGTCAAATGACTACTTACATTATTCCAACCAGTAGAGTTACTTGCTTGACATGTGAGTAGACCTTCATGCAAGTACTCTTGTTTGATTGTGTTCAGTGGACTCATTCCCTTAACGAGCACCTACATATTTGTCTTAGTGTCCCTACACAAATGGCTTGAGACTTTCCATCCTTCCAATTGAAGCAGACATAGTACGTATTAGTCTATTCGGATTGTCAGCATCCCTCTAACAATCCTATGACTATAAACTTTTTGGACATTATAGTTATGTGAAGAAGGTCTCTGTAGTCTAACATATTTAGATTACTTCTTCCATCGATCCATTGTCCATGGACTCACTAATTTTGGATGTATATCGTTCATTGAGATAGTCCTAATAAGTGACTTTGCCCTTTTTTTGATGTATTAGACTTAACCATACATTAAGACATTGTCCTAAAAGGTTTCTTCCAAAGATTGACTGTCAGGGCACATCTAGGTGTGGAAATAAGACAATAAGACAATAAGGTGGGTCTATAAGCATTCCTTAATATACCTACTTCCTACACCTTAAATATACACTTTTTTAAAATGAGTATAATGAAATTGTTATTTAAATTAATTATACATAATCTATTATATAATTTCGGTTCAATTGTTGCAGTATACCATTGGAATTTTTTTAGAAGCAAGTACGATATTCATCGATTAAGAGAAAAGATGTAGAAAAGGAAGATAGAGTGCATAAGTGGGCTTCGCTAAAAACCTTGCTGAAGATTTCAATCCAGTCAAAAATAAAACGAGCATCCCGTACAAACAACTTTGGAAAGTTAACTATCCTCCACAAAGATACATCATTAAACAATATAACTCAAGTAGAGCTATCCTCAACTAGAACATCATTGATAAGACCTTTCCTTGGAAACCCCGTCGTCATATGAGAAATTGTCATAATACTTCTTACTTTTTTATACAAAAATATATTTACATTAAGAGAGTGGAGAAATAAATTGGTTGCAAACTCGTTATTCTTGAAATTCAAACTTAAAATCTCTCACCTACAAATGTAAATACTACTTAATTGGAGTGGTAAGTGAGAAATTATGTCATAGAAAATTAGTTAACTTTATTGTCACATAAACATAAAAGAGTACATCGTCCCCCAAATTTCTCAATTTGAATTAATCTCCTGCTCAAGAACCAACACCAAGTAACAAGAAACAAGTGTCCTATATAAATTTATAAATACACTAACCCTATGTTCGGATGAAGTAAATAAATTTGAAATTTGGACAAAAATCAAAATTTACAAATTGACATACACCAATTCCTTATGTTTGGATAATAAACTTGGAATTTTGACAAAAAGTCATAACTTATAAATTGATATGCATTAACTCTCTTGTTTGGATTCATAAACATAGAAATTAGAATTTCTGTGTGGAAAAAAACTTGAAATTTGGGACCTCAAATTCCCAACCATGTAAATAGGTGTCATTTCCAATTTCTTATATTTGGATGAGGGAAATAAACTTAGAATTTTGACAAAAGTTTGAATTTATAAATTAACATGCTCAAATTCTCTTGTTTGGATTCATAAACATAAAAATTTAGAATTTCCGTGTAGATAAAAACTTGGAATTTGGGAGCTCCAATAATAGGTGTCATTTTCAAATTTATATGAGTAAGAGTTTACAAAATTACAAATTCTATTGTTCCTTTACGTTACCCAAACAAGAAAATTCACAAATTTTAGAAAATAAAATTCCATCATTTTCAATTTTCGTGGTTTTAAAATTCCTTAGTAATCTTAAAAATTTTCTCGTCCAAGCAAAGTGTATTTGGATTCATAAAGATAAAAATAGAATTTCCATGCGGAACAAAAAACTTGGAATTCAGCGCCTCCAATCTTCTAGTTTAAATTTCATGTAAACAGTTGTCATTTCCAAATTTTTGTGAGTGAGAGTTTAATAGCAAAAGATAAAAATTAACTTAACCATGAGTGGCACCATTGTTAGTTTGTCACTGCCACCATCATCACCACGATGCCGCAACCACCCCCACCTATCTCCATCACTGGTAGCACGTTTGCTAACCACCATCTCTCATTCATATATTAATGATCTAGAAGCACATTAAATTTTTCGTATTTGAATTTTCTTCTTATGCTGGGTTAGCCAAATAAAACTAATTCTGACTATACTTGATCACTTGGCCGTGGATTTGGGAGGTTTCTTTAGCTCATGTTTCACATATTGATAAAAGTAGATTTCGTTTCATTTACCGACAGCCATGTTATTCCACGTTAGCTGAGCTATAGTATAGTTCAGATATTTTTGTGAACACTCAACAAAGCGTGAGCCCACTCACTATTCTCATATTGTCGCTCCCTTCTGTTATTTCTCTTTTAATAAACTCCTGCTTGAGCTCCACGGCCAACTCTAATTCTTTCCAAGAAAATCTTGATTTATGTATTTTAGAATTCTTTAGTAATCTTAAATTATTACAAACTCATCACATAACCTAAAGCTGTATAGAAATGAGATTCAACTTGCCCATCATGCAACCTTCAGTTGTATAGGATTTCTCACCTTCGAAACCAGAGTCGGTGAAAAAATAAACCACATGCCTGTTGCACGAATAAAAAGTAAAAACACTAAATTAACAGTGAAAAATAAAATCCCTTCTTAAAAAAAAACTGACTAAAACGGTTAAAATGGAAAGTTCAAATTAAGTTCTTAGCTTAATAAATTAATATATTTGTTTAAAATATAAATTGTCACATATGAGTAGAAACTTAGTGCTCTATTTACTAAGATATTAAACCACATTGTTGTTGATCATAATAAATGTAAATTATGTGATCGCTTGACCCAAAATCCAAAATTTCTACGTTTTAGTCTACTTTGAAATTTATTTATAGATAAAAAGATCAAATTTCTTTTTTTTTTATTTGACAATATTTGAGTTGAATGTCATCCAGTTATAATTGATAAAGACATGACTTGGAAATCAATGGAAATTTCGTCTAAAAGAATCAATGGAAATTCTTTCATTATGAAAAGTGTTTTTGTTAACTGACGTGTAGTAGGGCCTCTGGGTCATTAATGGATTTAATAAATGTTTAAAATATCAATATCGGTCAAAATATATATATGTAAATTTGTAAAAATATAGATAGATATATTGAATATCGATAAAAGCTCACGTATCAGACTAATGAATTCAACTTTTACCTTCTTTTTTTTAGGCCAATGGGGAATCTTCATTAGGGACAAAGCCGAGGAGAGAAAACAACCATCCGGAAATGGAAAATACCAAAGAAACAAAACAGAGCAGCATACAAAAATTAGAAAAACGTGGGAAAATGGGTCTCGCCCAGAAGCCAAGACGGGGGAGAAAAAGCAGAGCACAACACGAAAGCGGGGCTATGGTCCAATCTGCTATCCTCACCCATCTCAAGTACACATAGTTTAAGAGGGGCAGGGGAGACCATCTTTGGGAATAGAGAGGATGGGGGCGTTATGATCCAAACATCTGAACGCATCCCTCTTTTACAATGCCAAGCAACCCAATCGGTTGCAAAATTCGCTTGACGAGGAATCCACCACCAGCTAATCCAATGAAAGCGATGAGTGAGATTCCGAATTTCGATTAATAGGGGAAAGATGGTCCAATGTCCCTTCTTGAAGTCACCCTTGATGCCTCTAATGAGCTCCTGCGAATCCGATTCACAGGCCACATCTTGGAAATTGTTACCGATCGCTGAACGGACAGCAAGCAGAGCTGCCTTAGCTTCAGTTTGGAGAGCAAAAGAAGACAAACAAGGTTTGGATGCGCCCGCAATAATAGAGCCGCTGGAGGTACGAAAAACAACTTCCAAAAGTCACCACACATCTGGTGGGAACTCTGACAATTGCCCCTACAGTGATCAAGTATTAAGCATTCTTGTCTCGCTTTGTCAGCGCCCTCCTACAACTATTAAGAGAAGTACATAATTTTTGCTCAAATATCTGTAAAGACATTCTTGTCTAGCTTTGTTGAAACGCTTAGTATTCTTTAATGTAGCAACATCTAGCTCACATGGATAACGATGGCACATAATACTTGTGTGGAATTCGATGCTAGTTATGGTTGAATTGTTGTGTGGCTAAGTCTAATCCTTCCCCTTAGCGTAAAATATCTACCCCGCTTAGAGTAGAACCTTCGTATGAAAAAAATGTAGCAATAACTGTAAACATCAACTCTTATTTTTACATATTAAACTGATGACATGGTGGATGATGAAGGAGCTTTGACATATTTCAGGCATGGCGATTATAGAACGAAGGAAGCCCATTGGAAGTGATTGATAAAGGTATAGGAGATTCGCCTTCTCTATCGTACGTCTTACATTACATTCTCATTGGTAATATCATTGTTAACCCAACAATAATAACCAAATGGCTACTACCCTTTGTAGTTGGGAACTAATGGTGCATTGGATTAGCCTAATTAATCTGGTTTCTTTATCGAAAGGGAATAATATGAAGCAGGTTCATCTTCAGATAATCAAACATTTTGTACCAACAAATTATCCATTACTCGTTTGGAGGCTCGATAAGGATCGTTTTATTTGTTGTAAATTAGTTCATACAGTACTAGAATTCTGGGCAAAGCACACTGTTTTTGTAAATTGTGGCCTTTGGCATTTATACACAACTAGCATATACTGCTTATTTAGCTATTGATCTCAGACTACAATGCAAAATACCCTTTTGTCAACAAAGCAGCAGAGGTATGTGAAAATATAAATTTATGTAATAGCTACTAGGTTCCATAAATCTTTCCTGTTCTTCTTAGATTCCTGTCTCTGGTCGATCCTTGTTGAAAGATCATCAATAATTTAATGCCGTGGAGGAGGGAAGCTTGATCATCTTCTTTCTTGTGGACAATGAAATGCACTAGCTAGAAATCAAGTTTTCCACAATCATAACGTGAAAGTTTAACAAGCTGATTGAAAATGAACCTGTAAAATATGGTTTCCCTCAAGAACTTCATAACCCCACCAGACCCCGGCTGCTGTATCCATCCTGATAAATATGATCCTGCAATCAACAGCGCGACACGCCACCTTCTTTCTTCCACGTATTTCCCAATCGCGCTAACCATCTCTTTCGGCACGATTTGTCCATTTTGTACAAAGGATGTCCCTATGTATCTGCCCAAGACCACTGCATCTTCCAATGCCAAGCAACCTCCTTGTCCTAAATCAGGTGTCATGGGATGCATGGCATCACCAGCCACCGTGATGTTTTGCTTGCCTAGGTTCCCGAATACTACATGCCACGGGTACCTGAACATTAGTGGAGCCCATGACAATGTTGAAAGATCTGAGTGCCGTACAACGTCTAGGTAAATAGGAGGAAGATCCTTGGCATAATTCTCAATCACTTCTCGTTTTATAACTTCCGGCTCATTGGCAAGATCCGCCCCTACAATAACGATAGAAACAAGTGTGGTGTTTTGTTAGGTGTTCAGTTTGTTGTCTGTCACGAATTAAAACGAAGGGAATGGTTTATTTTGAACCTTTAGCCAGATATGTGACAAAGAACCAATAGATCTCTTTGTCATTGAGGGGAACAAAACCAGCCCTTCTGTTAAGTCCTACATATTGCTGCACGTTATTGTCCAATCCGTGGCCTTGAGGAAACACAGCCAAGCCACGAACTCCTGATCGACCTGCATACACTGGTTCGGCAAGTCCTAACGAGCGGCCAACCACTGAGTGAATCCCATCACAGCCTATCAGAACCTGTAGCGGATGATCATCCAATTAAAACAAAATATAATGGAAAGAAAAAGATAACTTAAAGTACTGCATTCCTGTTGAATTATAAGTCTCTAGCTGATTGAGTATTAGCAATAAGTTGAGATTAAATGTGTATTCACTTGTGCTAAGAATGCCAAGTGTGAAGTTCCTATGTGTAAAAGGCCATGAGTGCCATTGGTTATTTGGTCTTTCTTTATTATGTCATTACATGTTAGATGAGCGGTTGTGATCTAAGTACTGTGAGAGAAAGGATCCAATTGTTTCTAACTATAATTTTCCCTCCACACAGTTTTTTTTGTGTAAGTGTGTGAGTGCATATCAGAAGTAGAGTGAGAATTCCAATCGCTCCTCTGTGACTTGCAGAGAGAGAGAAGCTGCCATTTTTCCAATCTTCTTTTCACTGTGTATTTTTCACTCCTCCTTCTTTGAATTCATTCAACTAGACAAAAATATCACCGTTTTTAACAATTCCACGAGTGACTCTCTCATTGTACTACTTATAAACAGTGTATTTTGGTTACTATACCTTTGCTTTGATTATTGTCCCATCTCCCAAGTGAATAACTGAAATGGACGAGCCTTCATGTTCTTGGGCCTCGATAGCAGTAAGTTTGGAAGCGAAACGGATGGAATTTGGTGGTAACTCATCTGCCAAAGCCTTGAGTAAAGCTTTTCGGTGTACTGATCTTGGTCCAACTAGGTCATTTCTAAATTTCATGTAAAAGATTGACAACATTCAGGTCCTAAATTCCTAAAGCAGTACATGCCAGCTGTAAAACTGAACAAATAAACAATACTATGGTTCGCTTACCCATTGGATGCGGCTAAAGAAACTTCTTGGATTTCTCCGGTATCAATGTTAGTTATATATCCCCTGTCAGACAACCATTCCCAACGCATAAATAAGTTGAATTATGAGTTTAAACATGGTTCATGTGGTTAAGATTGACTTTGTTAGAAATTCCTGACAGTAATTGTAGTAGTCTCATTGACTTTCAGGTTGTAATTATAACAGCGATCAGCTTCATGCGTGTCTACATATGTATTAGTCTTCCTGACTTTGCATCCAAACATTAGTTTTCTATGTTTCTTTTCAGACAGAGATATTTTAAACTAGTCTAATACATGAAGGAGATTCGAGCACTCACTTTTTTATTGTAGCATAAAGAGAAGTGAGGTGGTGGGAAACACCCAAGGCGTCAAGGGCACACCAAGCGTTGGGAAAGAGGGTTAAAGCTGCACCGGTGACTCTGAGGCTGTCTGATTTCTCCAACACCAACGCTTTAAGTCCAGCTTTCTTGAGCGCCACGGCAGTCGCCAGCCCTGCTATTCCTGCCCCTACTATCACCACATCCTCCACTCTTGCCATCATCGATCTTTTCTCTCTCTCCTCTTCTCTCTCTCTCTCTCTCTCGGAAGAATGTATGAACTTGTTGGTAAAAATGCCAAAAGCCAATATGATGCTTTATATTAGACCCAATGAGAAGCAGCCGCCAAGTAAGAGAACGAAATTGTTGAAAAGTAATGGACATTTGTATTTACATAATATGAAGATATCCATGGAAGATTGAAAATTCTTCATACCAAAAGCGAATTTGGTGTTTGTCACTTGGAATTGTATATTTCCGATTCTAGGTTGGAATCACAAACTCAACTTTCCACCAACCGAAACCATTTGAACTTTTTTAGGTCAATGAAACCATTTAAACTTAAAAAGAATGAATAGTAGGGAAATGTGAGGATGGAATTATGACTCATTGGATTTATTTATATATAGAAATTACAACACCAAAAAAACCTAGTGCAAATACAATAGAGAATACAATAATTATATGAAAAGAATCCTAATCACTGTATTTTTTTGGACATGAAAATATTTTTTATTTTGTTATAAACCTATTTAACTAAAAATTATACAGTAGAGAGAGAGGTGCGGCAAGCAAGATAGAGAATTTGGTGGATTCTGAGATGTGTATTATCTCATACCATTATGCCTCTCTTTTATAGTAGTATAAAGGTAAATTTCTTATCTAATAAGTATTACAACTTAAACAGGATACTGTCTAAAAAAATATGATAGAATCCTAAAAAGATTTCGTAGTGCTTATACAATCACATTCCTAACTAAGACTGCAACATATTTTTCATAATAAAAAAATAAATTAATTTCTAACTCATACTTTCCTATCTCTCTCCTCTTACACTCAATTAGAACTTATAAAAAGGACTTTTGTAGAAATTCATGCATTACAAAAAAAAGTAATGCTAGATAAATTAAATATGTAGACTAAATACGTAAACTAAATTAAGTGTCACAAAAAATTTGTTTGGTGAAGCCAGAAGGAGTTTTTTCCTTTTTATTTTGGTAAACACGCCAGGATCCGTTCGTTTTTGAATAGATGACTGACTGGCCGGCAGTAGGGCCCCTTGACCATGAATTAACTTTTATGTTGATAACGACCATTCACAATCATATAACGTGTATGTGTTTGTTGAAAAGTCTCTACTCCTAAATGTAGTAATGTTTTGCCAACATAAATAACGAAGACTATATAATATTTGTATTAAATTTGAGACTGTTTAATTGTGTGGCCAAGTCTAAGTCCTTTTTTATTTGTATATGTAGTGCCTTTTGCAAGAATGAATTGTAGAATGTGAATATTATGTGATGAAATACATGAAAAAAATCATTGATGATCTTAATTGCTCAATTATTACCAAGGTTGGTACTACTATTACAAAAAGTACTTAAGCGGGTGTATTCGCTACTATCTTATTAGTATGAACTGAAGCACATTCCATTTATTTGCTGTTTCCTGTCTTTTGTATTTGTTTGCTATTTTCAGTCCATACATCCCTCATCTTCTCTTCACACTGAGAACCATTCAATTTGTTTGTTGTTTTATGTCATTTGTATTTGTTTTCTTGTATAAATCCATTATTAATTGTTGGATTCATAGGTTTGATTAGAGGTCATAGTAAACTTTCATACTTTTAAAATCACTCCGTTGACGCCCTTACTGCTAACTGCTGAGTAAAATTGATTATTCATTGATTATCTTGTTTCTCTGTTTTTTTAAATGATCATATAGCTCATGTTTTTATTTTATTGATTTGTGCATGCGGATGAGTCATTTACTTGGAGATGAACTTTGATTTCAAAGCTAATGACCCTAGATCTTAGTTAAGTTTTCCAGTAAATATATGTAATTGGTCTAACACAGTTTGCCTGATTGACACGTTTTTTTTAATTCAATAACGCTTGGTAGGTGTCTTTAAGTTATGCATGACACTGTGCGTATGTCATGTTTAGTATATTGTGACACTCATCCCTCTATTTATAACACTTATTCGGCGTCTTAAATGATAATAGATGACACAAATTCTTATTTCAATGTCGGTTACATGACGCTCATTCCTTTGTTTATGATACATATTCTACGTCTCAAATTGAAATAGATGACATGTTATTTTAATTTAATGACACTTGTCAGGTTCTTTTAGAAGCTATATATGACATTGTGCGTATGTCATATTTAGTATACTGTGACGCTCATTACTCTGTTTATGACACTTATTACGCGTCTTAAATGGTAATAGTTGACACAAGTTCTTAATTCAATAACGCTTGTTAGGCGTTCTTAAAAGTAATACATGACACTCTTCAACGTCATAAAAAATATCTTTAATGACACTTGTTAGTACCATACTTGACCAATCCGGAAACAACTGAGCACCGATCAACATTATACCATCAAGGACCCAGAAGAGTTTCCCTCCAACTAGGAGGCCAATCACAGCGCGACACGTGTCGACATCAGAAGCCAATCATAGCGCGACACATATTAACATCAAAAGCCAATCACAACACGACACGTGTCAATGTCAGAATGAAACTAGAAACTCTCTTCTATAAATAGAGATCATTCTCTCACAATATTTCCTAATATCATTTGTACTAAATCATTTACTAGTACTCACTAAAGGAGAGCTTGAACCTATGTACTTGTGTAAACCCTTCACAATTAATGAGAACTCCTATACTCCGTGGACGTAGCCAATCTGGGTGAACCACGTACATCTTGTGTTTGCTTCCCTGTCCTTATCCATTTACTTACTTGTCCACACTAGTGACCGGAGCAATCTAGCGAAGGTCACAAACTTAACACTTTCTGTTGTATCAAAGTCCTCGTTAATTTTATGCATCAACAACACTCACAGAGATGATGCTAAACCCTTGCGTCATAAAACTTTTAACATGACCAATAAATTGCGTCATGTATTAAAAATTTGTAATAGTGAACAATGGCAGACGAATCGATTGTTCCTTAACTTCCCTCTTTAAACAACATTGGGAGTCTTCATATTTTCTAATATTGCTCCAACATGCATTACTAGTCAATGCCGGTGCCATGTTTCCTTCAACAAAGCATTAAATCCGCAAAGAATTTGTCTTAATATCAAAAGGCTACTCTTCCTTAAACTTGACATAAACCAGTAGGCAAGAGGCTTAAGAACACCGGCGGAGCCACATTAAAGGCTTCCCTGGAGTGTAGCCCAGGTAACTTTCGGTAGAAAATAAAATTTTACATGTAATTTTTCTTGATTTTCGAATGTAGCTCACCATATATTTAGTTCCTGATTCAAATTCTCTCAGTTTAATTATATAATACAGTTTACAAACCATTTTTTTTTTCTCACATCTTTTTTCTCATTGCTTTTTGTACATGTAGAAGTTTGCATTTGTTTGAATAACGAAAGTTCTTGGCTCACCTTGTGAAAATTTTCTTAAACTAGCTAGTACTGTAAAAAATATAGTATCAAGTTTCTTTATTTATAAAGATTTAAATTTTTAAGCTAGCTTACTTGGTGAAAAATTTCTAGCTCCACCATTGCTCAAGAACAAAAGCTCCATGGGTTATCTTTGTTTTTCATTTTCGTTTATGATCACAACTAAATTGCTCTTCCTGTTATTCACAGCTTCCTTCGCAGCTGACTGCACTGCTCCCAACCAAACCAGTCTATCATCGGTAATGGCACGACCTTCGATTTCAAATGATGGAAGCTTTGAGTTGAGCATCTAGTTAACTCAGTTAAGTAAGTTGTCTCTTGTTAGATATATTATCACGTGACTGTGTGCCCAAGGTTTTCTTTGCTTCATATGTGGAAGGTTTCTCTTGTAAAAAAATTTAGTATTCTCGTCTCGTTATTTAATTGATTTATTTTTCTGCTAGGTCGTAGGATTGAAACTATACTTCAATTCCGCGGTCTGAACAAATTTAATTAGTTGAATTTGTTTTTCTCAGTTCATCCGTGTCTTCAAAGATACCAAAGACAAGAGTAACTAACATGTTAGGCGAAGGCGAACTTGGTGTTCGCCACTTGGAATTGTATATTTTACATTTTGGGAATCACCCACTAGGACAAGGATTGTCTGCCCTCTTGTTCCTGTGCCCTTCCATACTATTCATTTTTGTCTTATTATCTCTATAAAAATACAATATAAAATGTTGACATGACTTAACCATGACCACATAAATCAGGAGGGCATGGAAGGGCATGGAAACAAGGAGGGCAGACAATCCTTGTCCCACCCACTGAACCTTCCACCAAAAAGACGTCGTTGAAATTAATTTCTTTTGAAATGTCTATTTTTAACCTTTTTTTTATTATTATTATTATTTTTAAATTTCTTTCTTAACGAAATGTCTCTTTTCATGCATTGACGACACAAGAAGTGCTTGTGTAATGTCGTGTTTAAATAGACAAATTTAAGATGATTGACAGTCTAGAGAACATCCTTTGAATTATCAATACTTTAGATGACAGATATGATAGCTTAGCACTTCAAAAAAGGAATTTCCCTTGCTCTCGTTTTCTTGTGCAGTTAATACACCACATGAGTCTAATGATATTTCTCTTCACTTGTAAGTGAGATGTCTTAGATTCAATTCTTGCTAAAGACGAATTTGAAACACATTATTACTAACTCATTATGAAACTAAGCTCACCTTATTCCTTTAGTGTAAATAATATCGTCTATTAAAAAAAACATATACACACACATACATACATATATATATAGTTTTATATTCCATGCCTTAGTTTTGTCCGCGTTAAACGAAATACAATTATGTAGTGTTATGAAAATTCTTTTCAAATGTTGGGGCAGTGTTCAACCTTGTACTATTTCTCTAAAAAACACTCTTTATTTTAACTAAATTTGGATTCCAAATCTCTTACAAAATATTGTGTGATATGGTATGACCACGTATGTACTTAACTCAATATTTTCCATGTGTTCAAGTTTTGTACAAGTGAATTTGGCACTGAATTTTCATCCTGAAAAATTAATAGAAAATAACAAAAAGAAAAATACTAAATAAAGTTGATATTTCACTACTATAAAACCAATTGGTAACATGGAGAATAACATTGTTAAT